GAAACAACAATCGCAGATAAAACAAAAGATACAGATAGTCTTTGACTTACCACCATTTGTTTAGTGACCATTTGAAGTTATGACACTGAAAAAAGTTACTTATGACCAGTCTGCACAGCATTTCTGTAGTCACATGATTTATGCCAGTTACCTTATTCCAGGGTCACGTGATCACCAATGCTATCTTCCCAACCAGGTCTCAACAAGCAAAATCTATCAGGGAAGTTAGATTCACTTCACGACTGCATGATGCACTTAATTCCAGGGTCAAAATACAGTGCACAAATTGCCAGAAACTATATCCATTAATTATTAAGATAAACAATGCAAATGGACAATTTTACTTTTTACTTAACACAACAGCTTTGTAACAATATGAATAGTTAGGTTTGACCTAATACAAAGCTATTCAATATCACACATGAACAAGAGATGTCAGCTACATTTTAAGAGAATATGAATTAAATCTGCTCACAAAGAACATTCAGGAAAACCTAGAGATGAATGGCAACACATCTGTTGGTTGAACGTAAAAGCAAATTCAATCTCACACATCCATTTCTAATTAAAAGATCTTAGGTAATTAGGCTGGCAAAGGCTAGTGTCTAAGAAAACTGGTTCTCCTGCCCTGCCCAATAATATATCAACAAAAGTCCATCTATTGTGTCATTCTCTTTTTACTGAACAAGGTAGCAATTTTTTTCACCCTCCCTTTAACATGGGTTATGTCAAAATGTTAAGTGACAAGTGGTATTTTGCATCTGAGAAAAGTAAAGTTCTACATTTTTGCCCCATGGACTTTATTTCCAGGAACACATATATATAAGATCACAGCCTTTGATTTTTTTTTCTCTATCCATTTTCCGTTAAGTTCATCCCTGTTATCCATACTCAGTGCCAATGATTATTATTTCAATAGAGGAAAAAAGAAATGGAAACTGCACTGGTTACATGGGAAAACGGAATGGCTTAGATGTCTAAAAATAAAAGGAAGGCAGAGTTCAGATTGGTCAGGTAGGGAGAGAGGATTAGGATCAAACAAAGCAACTGTGAGGAAGGGGTTAAAAAGAAGAAGAAATACTACTTTTCCATGCAGTTAGTCCTCACTTAACAGCAGTAATTGTGACTGGGATTTCCATAACTAAGTGACACAATTGTAAAGTGTGATGTCACATGACCAGATCGTTTTAATGAGGGAAATTCCAGCACTACTAGTTGCCATTGTTAAGAGAATCCTTCTTGACATTGCATGTTCACCATCTGCAACCTCCTGCCAGCTTTCCCATTGACTTTTCTTATAGGAAGCTGGCAAAAAAGGTCACAAATGGCAACCACATGACCCGTGGAGAACCCTGCAACCTTCCTAAGTATAAGGACCAGTCTTAAGTATCACTCCTTCAGTTCAATTATAAGTCTGAATGTCACTGAATGAGTGGTTGTTAAGCAAGGATCCCCTGTTTATATTTCAATACACCAAGTAGCTAATCAGACTTTCCACCTTGTTACAATTGCTATAAATGAAGACACATCAATAACCAATTTCCACATTTCTTGTAGCTCCTGGGCAGGAAAAACACTGAATAGAAAACACAATGGGAAATACAGGATAGATCATAGGGAAGAAAAAAAATTCTTTGACAGGCAATTCTCTTGCTTGCTTTTAATGTCGTAACTTATTTTACAATGTATACATGCTGTCACCATCATAAGGCAAAAAAATCGTTGAAGAAATAATACGTCAGATGCAACATGGAGCAGGTCAGTCACTGACTTTTTCTTGGTTAAACTGAACCAGATGCAGCAAAGTTTTAAAAGACAAGGATAAAATCCATGAAAATGCAGAGCCTAGGACAGTAGTGGCGAACCTATGGCACGGGTGCCAGAGGTGGCACTCAGAGTCCTCTCTATGGGCATGCGCGCCATCGCACCAGTCCTAGGCCTTCAGCTGGGTTTTATAAAACCTTTTCGTTTTAGGCCTCTGCCACCATGTGTAAAAAAAAAAAAAAAGATTCAATCAATCAGTCAATTTCAACTTCTCGCGGGGAAAAAAAGATCTTGCAAAGTTGGAATTGATTGATTGAACTTTTTAGTCCCACCCAGTCTGCCGTTACCACTGCAGCCACGCCCACCCAATGGGCAGACCCAGCCAATGGGCCACACCCACCCGGCACCCGACGATGCATAAGTGGGTTTTGAGTTGCAGTTTGGGCACTCGGTCTCTAAAAGGTTCGCCATCACTGGCCTAGGACAACAAATCACACCTATTTTCTACTCTTGCCAGATAACAGATGCAATATTAAACCTGCAGGGTAATCCTATCTAAGTCTACACCGAAGAAGCCACAATGTATCCATGGAACTCACAAAAATTGAGAATGGAATTGTCATCATTATGCCACATGGTCCAGTCACAAGTCTCCCTCATTCAGTGCTGTTGTAATTTTTGATGATTGCTAACAACATAAGGACCACCTGTATACTGTTACCTAAATGATCCAATCAACACTCAAAAGTGTAAAGATCCGTTTCCTTACTGCAAAGGAAAGCAACAATTCTTTTGGTCTGTCTTAATGGAAAATGGAATATCAAAAGATAGTAGGGGCTTCCCTTTCAAAAGTCCAATACTGATGTTATCCAGCCACAAAATATGTGTTGAAGCAGTAACCTGGCTCTTGAGATGAATTCATATGCACAATTCTGCCCTAAATACATTAAGATCAAGGTACTTTGTTATCCACTGCTAAATAAACATAATAATAAATAATGAAGTCTACTTCAAATTCTCCATTTATAAATTTCCAATTGTATTTTGCAAGGAGCTTTTTCTTAAACTTACACTTTTTCTTTTTGAATGCAAGTGAAAAAAAAAGCAGTTTCTCTGATGTTATTTTTAGTTTTATGATTCAAAATGTGTAATGTTTTGTCAGATCTTAAAACAGGTTTTTCCTCCTGTTCTTCTTCACTTTTAAAATATATAGTTCCTGTACTATCAGTATGTTTTCCAGTACTGCCTGTTTGATCTTTCAAGAAAAACCTTTCACTGCTAAATTATGTGAGTGATTATTAAAATTATGTTCAACTGTATATGCAGATTATTTGGATCTTTCATATTGATAAACACAACCTTACATTCAGCAAACTAAAGTTAATTTCTTTTTGAAAGAAAGATAATCCTGTGTTGTATTAAATAAAATATTAACAAGAATAGGATACTTATGTACAGTAGTATTTGAAAAATTAATACTTCAGTGTTGAAGTGTACCTTGAGTACTAAACATTCTTAGCCTTTATCTAATTAAATATGCATAAATCTGTTCTCATTAAAATAATGCAAGAAAAAAAGGGATATAGTCTTAGTCTTAAGCTTACACAATATAGCAGGCACCCTTAGAGCCTTTCCAGGTGAGAGAAAAATCTTTTGCCACAGATTTATGACTATTTTGCTTCATCTGCTTTCTGTGCAGATTAAATATAAACAATGAAATTTGATCTTTCAACTAAATATTATGAACATAGTTGTTTGAAAATACAGGATGCAGTATCAATATTATATCTGAATACATCCTATACTCTTGGAAACACTATCCTTTCCATTATTCAGCACATATAACAAAATACATGTCTCTGTCAGGAGTTAAATAATCTTATGCCTAAAATGTGTTTAGTTTTAGTAGTGCAAAGATGTACTATACTTATAAAATGAAGATATAATTACTGTTATTTGAGACATTTTTCAGATGAAAAAATAATATCAGTGATCACTATCATGGAAGTTAATTCCACTCCTTTCCTCATTTGCTTTATTTAGCAAATTTATATGGCCACTCATCTCACTGAACATATAGCTGGACAACATAAACCAATAATTAAAACAATGCCATAATATTAAAACACTATAAACATAATAATTGTGAGAGTACATCCATCTAAATGCAGCACACAGGCTGCCCAAGAAAGAACCATAGGTAATAATACTGATCAACATATCTTGTGCTTGCTTAGGAATTGCAGGAATAAACAGCTATTTCCCACAATGCTAAACTGCATTATTTCTTAGAATTATGGGGTCTTGAACAAGTCACAGTAGCCTAGCTGTATGGATATGCTAAGCTATAGATCAACTAAGACATGATTTACATGGTAAATTGATCAACCTGGGTTTGCCAACACAAAAGTATCAAAGAATATGCACAATAACTAAACCATAAAGTAGACAATCACCCTTAGTTTAGCTGCATGTTTGCAAACCTAACTCTAGTTGGAAACTAGGCCAAATATACTACAGCTGATGAATAGATTATATTTTCATTTTTAAATGTAAAAGCATGCTAAAAAATATTAAAATCCTTAATACTGTATAGAAAGCAGTACTTTTATTTGGGCATAAGAATTTCAGTTCTATATCTCTAACACTGAATAAATGTGTTATGAACAGACTGGTATTAATAGGATGTATTTACTAGATCTCTTGTTCCTAGAGGCATATTTTAGGAGTCCAAATATAATTTTGTATGATTTATTCAAAGCTAGCCAGAATCGCCTAAGAGCAAATTGCATGTGCTTGGTGGAAGATGAGAAGAGACACCCCCCACACACACACAACTCCCACTATTGCCTCCTTTACTTCAGAGCCTCCTCCTTTATGTAACGGTGTCTTTAACTGAGGACACCAGACATTTCTCGCACCTTAAACACTTCACCACCTACCCATGCTTCATTCTCATGACCAATGTGACACCACACTACACGTATACCCGTGACTAACTTAGCCACCATGGCGCGCAAAATTAATCCAGGAAGTTAACAGAGCACGTTGAGCCAAACTAAGCCGACCGCCTGGGTTTCCAAAAATACTGGTTAGCTTGGGGAAGGTTCGGTGGGTCGTGGGAACCCAGTCCGTCTTTTCTAGCAGGGCCAGACTAAAATCCGCTGGGTCCTGTAATCGAGAGTAAGCCTAGTGCAAGGACGCGACATAGTCTCTCTCGGTGGTTTCGATCTCACCTGCAGCTGGCTCCACCGCCACTCGCTGTAAGCAGAAGAACGACCCTCGACCTCTGTCCGTCTGCCCGTCCGTACTTCAGGGAGCTGAAGCCGGCAGGGCGAATCCCGCCCAATCTGCTTTCTCCTCAGCGCTTTACCGCAGCCACCGGCCAGCACCGACCCTTCCGAGTCGGCGCGTAGGGGAGGCGCAGCGGCCCCGCAGTCCCTTCTTCCACCTGCCCCGGGCGCCGCACGTAGCGACAGGCTGCGCTCGCCTACAGCGCGAGGTCCATTCGCGTCCTACCCATTCACCGGGGCGGAGCTCTGAAGCCGAGAGAGCGGGAGCGGCGAATTACTCGCCCCTGTTTTTGTAGCCACTGCCCTGATTGGCCCCTGCCCGCTGGGAGTGGGAATCGAAGCTCACTCCGCCTTCCGCAAGCTGGAAATCTGCTTGATTGGAAGAGACGAATGTCAATCTGGAACTGATTGACGGTTCTAGATAGTTTTACCACATGCAGTAGCGCGCAGGCAGAGTGTTGGGCAGTGCGCGTGGACTTGTAGAAATGCTGGTTGCTTGATGGTCTACATGTGGAGTGATTTTTTTAAATATATATATAATGTATATATAAAAATTGGGACATTTCCTTATTTTATTTACTTGTAAACACGAAAGAGAAACGTATTAAATTAGAACAATCGATTTCTAACCCTGCATCTAGTTCTAAATGTTGTAACAGGTTGCTGCTACTGAGGTTGTGATATGTCATCGTTACATTAATAATATTTTTGAACTGCTTTTCAGCCTAAGTTTCAGAGCGATGGGCAAACAGGCCCCCTATTAAGCTTACCCTAAAATACTATGAAAACAATGGCTGTGGAAAAAAAGAGGAAATCTGTTCAACTTTGTTGATTTTTTCTATAAAAGGTGGGGCATCAACCTCAAATAAACCTGAGAAATCTGATTTTCACAAATCCAGTGGACTCTCACAATTGGTAGAATAAATGTTGTATGAAATATTCTATGGCAATTCTAGAGTTTATGAGGAGCAGATGTGCACTGCCTGAATCTGGATTATCATTAGAGCAGAGGTCCTCAACCTTTTGGACACCAGGGACTGGAGGATGCGTGGTTTTGTGTGCTGCCTGCATCCTGCAGATGGGGCTTTGCTTGTTTGTGCGGACCAGTTGCTGGCATATCATGGCCCAGTACTGGTCCACAGACTGGGGATTGGGGACCTCTCTATTCGAGGACAGCAAAGAAGCAACAGAGCTGAATTAAGGAAAATTTTCAAATTACACAAGTGTTCTTTCATAAGGAAAGGATTGGATTTGATTGCAACAAAAATTACATGTCAAAATGTGGGTTTTGCCTCAGCATGTTTTGTAAATCCAGCCACAATTACAAGTGTGGTTTAGCCCAGTGTATTAATATAGCAAGCCAGTTTAGTGAATGTGTAGCATTTTCTTTAGTCATTCGGTGTGGCTGCTTGCTTTAGTGAGAAGCTGCAAGAATAAAAGCTTTTGGCTTGGGTAAATTCCATTCAACTTTTTCAAATTGTGTAATTCCAGTTTAAAATTTGGGAAATAGTCATGCTGGTTATAATCACTGCTAAAACTAACACAGTGACTAAGAAGGATAGAAACAGCTAAATGAGCTTCTGCTGCTGTTCTCAGTTATAAGTGAAATATATTACTGATATCCACTCAGACACCATACTTTCATCCACCAAGTGTTTTATTTATTAATATATAGATAAGCAAGTAGCTGACAAAACGAGTCCAAAATGATGAATTCATACAATGCAGTAGAAATATTCTTGTGAATACAATATCTTAAATGGCATGGAATTTTCTTTGACTTTACTGGGTCAGACTATTCTAAATGAATTACAGTAAGAGTCAGTTTATGGTCTTGAGCACATGTACATGTTGAAATTGAACTTCACTTCAGCCTATTTATAAGCCATCTTACAATATGTAAAGTATCAATAATTTGTGGTTCCAAGTAAAATCAATAAGATGAAATAATAAATATCGATCCTTTATGTGGAAAAATCCAATCTCTAATAACATCATGTACTATTAAGAATCAAGGATATTTAGAGAAGGAGTATAACTATGTTGTGTTGGTAGGGCCCAGGAAGAAAGCTTTCTGCCCTGGTTCCTGCCGTTTAGGACATTATTCCTCTAAAAATTAGGCTTTCCCTGAACAGCTATCCTTTCACTAGATATTAAAAACCTGGGATTTGCCATCAAGCCTGGAGTTATGATAGTATGTGTGAACTTATTTCTTGGTCTTGAAACTGGGTTTCTCAGCTGCTATATGTTATATTATTTCTGTGTTTTTAAATTTGATTAGGTTTTTTTATTAAATTATTTTGATTTTAAGTCTTATCTAATCATGCAAATAAAATGAGCTATATAAATTTAATAAGTAAATAATAAGCTTTATAAATGTTGTGATTACATGTCATTATCAGCTGGTATATGCTTATCACATGCCCTCAATAAATTAAGCATGCAAACTTAGTGGCCTATTATCTAAGAAGAACAATGGAGAGATATGAATCTCTGAAATAATGATCATAGGTTTTACATATTGGGGTTCGCGGCATTGAAGCTACACACAAGTTGTTAACCAAGTTCTTTCTTTATTCGTTCCACTGTACCGCTCAGCAAACAAACAGGTGCGCAGGCCTTTTATACTCTCCCAAACCCGTCCAATCACAAACACCCTTTTTCGCGCCTTGCACATGCGCGCAGGGCCAGCACCAACCAGTCTGGTCCCGGGCAGCTTTTAGGTTGCCCGGGACCATTTGCAACATTTCTGGGCCTGCTGAATTGCCTCAGCAGGCCCAGGACACAACATCCCTCCCCCCTGGATAAAACACACATAACTATACACACAATACATTTGTTCCAGGGCCAGAAATAGTGGAATTACTCTGGCCTGCACACAGGCAGAGTACTTTTATAGAATAATGGATTTAACTTAAACAAATGCTACCCAAAATCATAATTGGTATATATTACGCTATTATGCTACTACCGGGTGTTAGTCAACATCATCCTGTACAGACTAGCAAGGTTCCCTCTGCAATGACAGAAACCTCACATAGTCTCCCAGATGCTTGGGAGGGCCCTTAGCCCTTTGTGACCTTCACAAGGTCAGGGAGGGTGCCTCGTCTGGCAGCTTACCTGCCAGGCTAGGCAGACCAGGACTTTTACTTAATGGTGCCTGGTCTACCAGCCCATCTGGTGGGCTCGACAGACCAGGACTTTGATGCCTTCAGATTCCAGGTGACCCACTCCGCAGCTGACTGGCTGGATCCTCTGAATCCCAGCCAGGTTTCCTCGGAGGGGTGGAAAACCCCAAGCCCAATGGTGGAGTGGAATTCTCCAAGTCCACAATGGACTCCTCTTGGGAACATTGTCCCCTGAGCCCGCGACCAGAATCGGAAGTGGCCTGCATTGCAGCAGTGCCCCAGTAGTTCCAGTCCCCCATGTATGTGGCTGAGGTGCCAGAGCCAGAAGCTGCCTCAATGGCAAACCCCCTCTCAGGAGAATTCCTGTCTGGAGCACTTGTGGAACCCTGCGATGACCCCTGATCTGCAGACTCCCTGTTCGGAGCAATAGCTGAACCTTGAGGATGCCCATGCCCATCCACTGGGACATGAACAGCAATCTGCGAAAATCCACTGGCTCTGTAAGGCTGTTTCCCAGGATTTTGACCTGAAGTGTGAGCTTGTTCATTTTCATGGTCCCCCTCCCCCCCGAGAGCAGAGCCAGAAGCAGAGACATGGTTGTACAGCTGCCAACGCAGTTGGTCAATATGGCGCCGAAGGACCCAGCCATCTCCCAAAGTCACTTCATATGATAGCGGCCCCGAGACCTTGCAGACAACAGCAGTGACCCAAAGATGACTCGGGCCATAGTTTCTTGCCCAGACCGGATCGCCCACCTGAAGTCTCCTAGGTTCCTGCGGCTGTGACACCTGTGAAGCCACCTGGTCTGGGTGCAGTCTGTCCAACTTTGTGATGAGGCGTCGACCCCAACTGAGTTCAGCTGGGCTCTTTCCAGTGGCAGCGCATGGTGTGGTGTGGTGTGCAAGAAGAAAGTCTGCTAACCTGTGATGCCAGCTACCATGCGTGAGTCTTTTGAGTGCTTCCTTCATTGTGCGTACCATCCTTTCTGCTTGCCCATTGGTGGAAGGGTGGAAGGGTGCTGACATTGCATGCCAGATCAAGTTGGCCTGTAAGAAAGCCTAGAACTCAAGAGAAGTGAATTGAGACCCATTGTCAGATACGAAGACATCAGGAAATCCATGAGTTGTGAAAATTCCTCTCAATACCTGGATGGTCCTAGCAGTAATAGTGGAGGAGACAGGGACAACCTCTAGCCACTTAGAGAGGCTATCAACCAGGATAGGCCTGAAAGGGCCCAGCATAATCTAGATGTACCCTTGACCAAGGGGTTTGTGTCTCCCCCCACCTGTGTACAGGGGCCTGAGGCATTTCAGGCCATGACTGTTGGCACACCTGATACCCGTGCACCTGGGCCTCGATAGCTTTATCAAGCCCAGGCCACCAAAGATGGCTGCGTGCAAGCGCTTTCATGCGTACAATGCCTGGATGTCTCTCATGCAGAGAGGACAAGACTCTAGACATCAGTGAGCCTGGGATAATTACTCTACTACCCCACAACAGGCACCCCTTAAATGTAGACAGTTCGTGCCTTCTTTGCCAGAAGCTTTGAAATGTAGCATCTGGACACGTGTCATGCCATCCTGACATCACCCATGTCAGCACACATGTAAGCATGTGATCAGTGGCAGTTTCTGCAGCCACATCCCTAACATTGAGGGGAGATTCAGGCAGCTCCTGAACGGAGAGAATATTAACAGCTGGGGCAGGATCTGCCTTGATTTGTGTGAGAGGTAGCCTACTGAGGCCATCTGCATGGCCCATTTCTTTCCCAGGTTTGTGAATAAGCGTGTAGTCATATGCTGACAGTGAAAATGGACCACCTCAGAATACGTGGGGAAATGATGTGTGGGGTTTGTTTGTTAGTAGTAAACAAACCCAGCAGTGGCTTATAGTCTGTATAGACTGTGAAATGGCGGCCAAATCATGAAATTTCTTTATGCCAGCCACTATGGCCAAGGCCTCTCTGTCAAACTGAGCGTAATTACGCTCTGCAGATGACAAAGTCCTTGAATAGTAGGCTATAGGGACTTGTATCCCGTCAGCCTTCAGGTGACTAAATACTGCTCCCACCCCATAAGGGGATGCATCACATGCGATGCACACAGGCAGTTGCTCATTAAAAT